GTAACATTATTATATATTTATAAGTTTAGTAGTGTTCAAGAACACTACTCACTAGCTGCCGCTAGATTAGCACTGTCTTCACGGCTAGAGTCGGCCCTTATATAGGTGCACAAAGCGGCAAAACCGGAAGTGCCGCTGGCCATCGGTCCGTTTGAAAGGATGACGTCTTACTTGGTGGGTTTTAGGCATCGACCGCCTGAGCGTGCGAGCGGCGTATCTATCGGTTCGGCTCTGTCCCTAGGTGCTGAAAGTGATGAAGAACAAAGAGAAACGTAACAAGTTCGAGAGAAGACACACTAGAGTATCATAACATGCCCTGCCACAACAAAGAGTCTTCCCGACTCTGTCCCTACGACTCCTTAGTACTACGACTATGTCTTAGTTGCGTTTTCCCCCGAAATTACCACTCCTGTCTCTCTCTTAGAGCGACTGATCTTCCTAGCCAGAGGCTTTGAAACCCAGGTTGTAGCTAGTAGCGTTTCCGCTGTCGAAATGACAAAAGGCTTGGCCTACATTCTCCTAAAGAGACATTTCGCGTCGTCTCCCCAACCACCCTGATCTGAGATATGAGGCCAAATTGCATTATTGGAGCGAATACAGCAAATGGCCAAATCGCTATCAGCTCACTGAAACGAAACCACTTTTTTGAGACAGAATTGCAGAGTCAGCAGTTCTTTCTAAGAGTGAGTCTTCCTCTCTTCCTGCATGTTGGGTTTCGCTGAGGAGGCTCACCAACACTTCCGCGCGTGGTTAAACTTTACCAGCGATTTTCAAAAGGTACGCGAATCCGAAAAGAATTCTCGAACTCTTTCTATCACAGATTACGAGGGGCGCTTGTTCTGCATTTGTTCGATCAGATAAGGCGCCATCCTAATACGGGTTTAGGCGAGCTATTGGGTACGGGCACTTCGGTCAGCCGAATATTGGTGGTCTTCAAGCCATACCTGTTTTGTTTAGCGATTATATGCGACTTCCGTGCTATCAGACTCCTGCGCGTGAATACTCACGAGCTAGTGTTCGTGCTGCTGTTAGCTTCCCGCGCGTAGGCTCTCCAGATCCTTGACATACTTGCTAGGATTCTTCACTGCGGCACCCTGCGTTCCCAGCAGAAATGTTAGCGATTAAATCGCGTGCAGCCAGGTGACAAAGAGGTTTCTCCACCGTTGTCTCATTGCGCTATTGTCTTGTAAGCCAAACGCATATGGAAGCGTTTTATCCTCACTCGGATGGGTACAGAGACCTTTGTTTTCAGCAACTGAATGAGCCGTCTTGATTGAATACTTTGCCGTCAGCCCATTCTCTCCTGGAATTGTATCTTTTGTGAAAGCATGGTCTATGCCGCATCAGCATTTTGAGCTCTTGCATCATTCGGTTATCAAACTCGCCTCCCTGATTCAGATAGTATGTATTTGGCTGAACGGCTTTCCCTCAGCGACTCACCTTTTGAAGAATACTCTGACCTACCACCATAGCACTTTTTGAGGGATAGCGTATGCACCTGCAAGCTTTCCAAAAGTGATGCCACCAAGCTGAGTATATAGGTCGTTTCCGTCAGTCGTCAGCCCGCATCTTCAGGAAGTGTCTATTCTACCAGTTCGATAATGGCTTAGGGTACCACTGGTCTTTTAGCGGCAGGTCGCGGATGCCGATGGCTGCGACGGTTGACATTCCATGGGAGACCACGTGAGTGACGTCTCGTTTCATGTCTCCGCAGAACACACGCTTCGACAGCGCTTCACCTACTTTTTCAGCTAAAATGTCGTCCAACAATGCCGCATTTGCCTCATCGAAGATTGCTCCGTCTCTTGGATGAAGGCAAAACTCCAGCAAACTGTATCGCTGCTCCAGTAAGCCTAGGTAACCTTAGCGCATAACCAAAGTCTGCCACTTTGAGCTATTTGGGACATCTTTGGAAAATTTCCTCATCTAGTTAGTAACTGCCTGCTTCCAGGTTACCTATGATTCTTGGCTATAGTCTTGTTGTGGGATGCTTCTGCTGAAATTAGGGGGGGGGGGGGGGGGGGGGGGGGGGGGGGGGGTGAATCGTCCAATTGGGGTCTTCTACTGTCGCTACTTACAATGATTTCGTTGGTGATCTCTTCGCCTTGTTACTTCTCAATTCGGGTAGGCCTGCGATTCAACGCATGCCGCTACACGGTTTGCAGCCCCTTTCAAGTAGTATGACCTTTGAGATTGTATTTTTGCAGTTTAAAGGCGGCCACCTGAGAACCTCGCGCTGCATCGCGTTGGTTCTTCTGAATGGAGCTGTCTTTTCAGCATCTGAGTCAGACGCCTTTGACGGCGAAGAAACCTGAGTAGAAATCCATGTCGCCTTCGCTGACTTAATACAACTCCGCGACCTTGGATACTGGCGTCAGTGTGGAATTTTGGAAGTTCTTCTACCCGCAATCTCACTGTCTATCAATATCAGGCAGCTGCAAATACTGGCGTTGCCTTAATTATTGCCTTCAGCTCTTCTTGTCAAGCATGATTTTCTCATTGGAATGCTCATTCCAAAGGCCGTTCTCGTCGACATCATCTCATGGAGTGGAGCGCGTTACCTCGGAGGAATTCCGAAACGAACTCCGTAGTAGGAACACATTCCGAGAAACGTTTCGAAGGTCTAAGCGCGATTGCGGTAGAGGATACCTTCCTAATCGCCTTTCCACCTTGGCTGGAATCCATATGCAACGCGCATCACAATCTGTTTAGTGGCCAAGGAAGCTGCATCATCCTCTCCAGCAAACATGCATTTCTTTGGATTTACCACCTGGGTCGTACTTTCCAAACAGTTGCTTGCAAACCAGTTCAAAAACTTGGAAATGCCTCTCCAACTGTTTCTAGGGCTACGCATGTTGTTTAGTCAGGGTAGCAGAAGAACTTCATTTCCCAGTAGCTTTGCTCTAAGAACCTCGCATGCCATCATAACGTTGAAATAGCGGACGGTGATGATTGCGAGCCCCTGAAAGGTAGTACCCTGAAACTGGTATTCCGGATCTCTGTTGTGGCAACGCGCGAATTTCTCCCTTTTGGCATTGCAGATAGAATTGATTCCGCCAAACGGCCTGCTAAAAGATACCAGGGCATGTAAAAGTACCCTTGACCGCCTGAAGAACTTGTGTCAGTCGGCCGGCACGTGGGTAACATACCTATCGCTTGTCACCTGATCGAAATTGCGGCAGGTCCGGAAGTACTCCGGCCTTTGAACCAAAACGATGGTGTGAGGCCAACTCTTACTCAGTTTCTGACGATTTTCTCGATCATGCCAATCATTAAGAATCGCGTCGGAACTTCAACGCGAGTAGAGCAGTGGTAGATTCGGCGAAGCTTTTTGTGGGTTGTATTCGGCGAAGCTTTTGTCGGATCGGTGGTGCCTCACCGGTGTCGATGTTGTGCTCCACCAGCGTTGTCCGGGTAAGCTCTTGCTCGCTCAGTGCAAAGACGTAAGCGTAGCTCTTGACGAGATTTCTAACTTCTTCGCTATTTTCTGTGTTTGTCCTGTTGATGCGGAGCAAAATTCTGTCTTCTCGTCCTGCAGGAGCTCCCACTGTGTGCCCCAATGTTTCCCGCATAGGTGACAGGCTTAAATTCCACGACTTTTACGGGTTCGAGGGTCCATACCTCCTCCCCTAGTCGAAAAATCTTTGCTTCTGCAAAGGTGTTTGTTACAGGCAGCTCAACTGCCTTCCTTCACCTTCCATACGACATCAGGAAGTGAGCGGTCATTAGACCAGAAATTTCCTTCTTGGATGAGTACGGATTCTTAATGATTTGCATGATCGGAAAATCGTCGAACTGAGTAAGAGTTGGGCCTCACCCATCGTTTTGGTTCAGAAAAAGGTGGAGTACTCCGACCTGCCGCAATTTCGATCAGGTGACAAGGATAGGTAGTTACCCACTGCCGGCGACTGACACAAGTCTTCAGGGGTCAAGGGTACTTTACAGCCCTGTATCTGTTAGCAGGCCGTTGGCGAATAATTCTATCTGAATGCAAAAGAGAAATCGGCGTTTGCCACAACAGAGATCCAATACCAGTTTCAGGTACTACCTTTAGGGCTCGCATCATCACCTCCGCTATTTCAACGTATGATGCATGCGGTTCTAGAGCATCTACTGGGAAATGAAGTCTTCTGCTACCTGACTGACAACATGGTAGCCCTAGAAACAGTGGAGAGGCATTTCCAAGTTTTGGAACTGGTTTGCAAGCAACTGTTGAAAGTACGACCCAGGTTAAATCCAAAGAAATGCATGTTGCTGGAGAGGATGATTGAGTTCCTTGGCCACCTAACAGATTGTGATGGGTTGCATATGGATCCAGCCAAGGTGGAAGCGATTAGAAGGTATCCTCTACCGCAATCGCGCTTAGACCTTCGAACGTTTCTCGGAATGTGTTCCTACTACCGGAAGTTCGTTTTGGAATTCTCCGAGGTAACCGCTCCGCTCCATGAGATGACGTCCGAGAGAATGGCCTTGGAATGAGATTCCATGAGAAAATCATGCTTTGACAAGAAGGCTGAAGGCAATAATAATGCAGGCGCCAGTATTTGCAGAGCCTGATATTGAAGCAGTGAGATGCGGTAGAAGACCTTCCAAAATTCACACTGACGCCAGTATCCAAGGTCTGGGAGTTGTATTAAGTCAGGAAGGCGACAATGGATTTCTACATTCAGTGTTCTTCGCGTCAAAGGGTCTGACTCGATGTGAAAAGACAGCTCCATTCAGACGAACAAGCGTGTCAGCGCGAGTTCTCAGGTAGGCGCTTAAACTGCAAAAATACAATCTCAAGATCATCTACTTGAAAGGGGCTGCAAACCGTGTAGCGGATGCGTTGAATCGCAGTGCTACCCCGAATGAGGAAGTAAAAGGCGAAGAGATCACCAACGAAATCATTGTAGTAGCGACAGTAGAAGACCCCAATTGGACGATCAAATTTCAGCAAGATCCCACAGACAAGATATAGCAAGATCATAGGTAACCTGGAAGCAGGGAGTACTAGCTAGATGAGGAAATTTTCCAAAGATGTCCCAAAAGTTCAAAGTGGCAGACTTTGTTATGGACTAAGGTTACCTAGGCTTACTGGAGAGCGATACAGTTTGTAGAGTTGTGCCCTCATCCAAGAGACGAGCAATCTTCGAAGAGGCAAATGCGGCATTGTTGGCGGGACATTTTAGCATGAAAAAGCTAGTGAAGCAGCTGTCGAAGCGTCTGTTCTGAGAGACCATGAAACGAGACGTAACTCAGTGGTCCCAGGAATGTCACCGTCGCAGCCATCGGCATCCGCGCCTGCGCTAAAGCCAGTGGTAACTCCTAAGCCATATGAACTGGTAGGAATAGACATTCAGGAGATGGGCTGACGACTGACGGAAATCGCTATATGACTTCAGCTTGTGGACGAACTTTTGAAAGCTTGCAAGGTGCATACGCTATCGCCCTCAAAAAGTGTTGGTGTAGTCAAGGGAGTATTCTTCGCAAACGTGCAGTCGCTGAGGAAGCCTCAGCCAAATACATAACTTATCTGATCATGGGAGGCGAGTGTGATAACGAATGAGTTGCAAGAGGTCAAAATAGCTGATGGCCATTAGACCATGCTTTCACAAAAGGATACAGTTCAGAGAGGAATGCGTCTGACCGGAAAGATTCAACAAGCGTCATTCAGTTGCTGAGAAGAAAGGTCTCTGTAACTCATCGAGTGGCGATAAAACTGCTTTCCATATTGCGTGTTGGCGATACAAGAAAATAGCGATGAGACAACGGGAAACTCTTTTTCACTTGCCGTTGCACGGATTTAATTCGCTACATTCTGTGGACGGCAGTGCCGCGTGAAGAACCTGGCAAGTATGTCACGGATTGGAGAGCTACGCGGGGAAAGTAACAGCAGCACGAGAAACGTAGCTCGTAGTATGCACGCGAGGAGTCCGATAGCACGGACAGTAGATATAATCGAAAACAACAGGTATGCTTGAAGACAACGCCAAGGTCGGTGACGAGTGCCCGTAACCCAAGCTCGAAAACGCGTATGGTATGGGCCTTTAGCGCGTGATCGAAACAAATGAGAACGCGCCTCGTAATATGGATAGAAAGAGTTCTAGATGATCTTTTCGGGATTCGGGGTACCTTTGAAGTGCGGTAAAGTTACCAGCGTGGAGTGAGGTGAGCCTGCCTGCAGGACAACCAACATGCAGGAAGAGGAGGACTATTTCTTAGAAGAACTGCTGACTCTGGCAATTCTGTCTTCCCAAAAAGTGGTTTGTTTCAGGAGCTGATAGCGATTGGCCATTTGCTGTATTCGCTCCGACAATGCAATGTGGCCTCTATCTCAGATCAGGAGTGGTGGGGAGACGAGCGAAATGTCTTTAGGAGGAATGTAGGCCAAAGCCTTTTGTCATTTTCGACAGCGCAAACGCTACTAGCTAGACCTGGCTTTTCAACAGACCAGCAGCTCTCAGAAGGGACGCTGACGTCTGGCTAGGAAGATCAGTCTTTCTAAGAGAGAGACAGGAGTGGTAATTTCGGGGGAAAACACAACTAAGTCATGTCGTAGTACTAAGGAGTCGCAGGGACAGAGTCGGGAAGACTCTTTGTTGTGGCAGAGCATGTTATGATACTCTAGTGTGTCTTCTCTCGAACTTGTTACGTCTTTCTCTTTGTTCTTTATCACTTTCACACCTAGGGACATGAGCCGAACCGATAGATACGCCGCTCGCACGCTCAGGCGGTCGATGCCTAAAACCCACCAAGTAAGACGTCATCCTTTTAAACGGACCGATGGCCAGCGGCACTTCCGGTTTTGCCGCTTTGTGCACCTATATAAGGGCCGACTCTAGCCATGAAGACAGTGCTAATCTAGCGGCAGCTAGTGAGTAGTGTTCTCGGACACTACTAAACTTATAAAGCTCTATCAGTTGATTGTGTAGTTCGTCTTCCAACACAAGGAGGACACGCTCCCCAAGAGCAGCACCCGTGACTGTGCAATTAAGGGTTCATTCTATACACTGATGCTTCATAAGGGGGCCTACTCTACTATTACGCTAAAATACTATTTTATGAGCTCTACCTAAAACCTGGGTTACAGCTGTTATCTGACGCACTTACCACGAATACGATACCGACACACCGTTTTTGAACATAGCCCAATTTGTTGCCAGTTTGTTGCACGTGCTTCCCGCGAGGAAATTGTCAGCTGCACGTAGAGGATTGTTCAGCGCCAAGCTGGTCCCGAAGTGCTTTGGCGATGAAAATAAACGTCAGAATCGTGATCGGGGTCATCAGCTGCCCCTGTGTACAAATTTTCAGCGGAAGTTTTTTCGAGCTTTTTGGGTTGTGATGGTAACATGTCCACCAGTGGCTATAGGCCTCTTCTAGAAGTCGTTATCCATCTTCGTTACCTGAGACTTCTCATTCATTAGTTCACAGACGCTTGATTAACAACTACAAAATCCATAAAAGGAAGGACACTGTTATACTGCACGCTAATACACCTGGAAAGAAGAAGAATAAACCTTTTTCTCCGGAAGAGGTAAAGAGGTCTTCGCTAAAAGCCTAGACGAAAAACGTTGGAAAAGTTTCAGGACGTAGGTTTTTTTCAAGATGTGCTGGATTTGAGAATGCAAAATTTATGACAGTTGGTCTTGCCTGTAAGTTACACGGTGACCTGTGACCTACACGAAGATGTGAGCGTTTAAGTGTCTCTGCCATCCGAAATTGGTGGAGCCATTAATACAGAAGCGCTCAAGAATTTCTTGTCGCTAAAACCTCGTACGCAGGGGTGACTGATGATTTCGAACGCGAGTCTGAAACTCACTTTTGACGCTGTGGCCATTTTGGGCTAGCATGTCGCTAAATAGCCACTGAGTGCGGGAAGGGATGAAGTGGGAATCACTGAAAAATGTTCAGTGTACCTCATTACAAATTTAGCAAGGTACTCAGGATTCGTCCTCATTTTGCGTTGTTTTTCATGCCTAGTGAAAGCGCACCTCATAAACTATACGGACTCAGGACTACAGCTAGAACAAAGCCGAATAAGACAACCAAATTTGCCCATTCTGAGCGATTTCTTTTTGCTCCTTTTTTGGTATTTGCTGTGACGCTCAACAATAATGAACCTCATCTGCATAGTTCGCGCATGGACCCATACACCATGCAGCAAAACATTTTCAAGAATCTCCTGAAGGACCTCACTAGTGAGTGAAGGTCGAACGCGTGCAGTATCTTCAAAAGGGATTTGGTACTGAGATGTTCTTACGCAAAGTGTACACAGCGACAGGACCTGCGGTCATGTGCTAGTCCCCGATTAATATTAGGCCTGTCTGGCTGCTCTTCCTTTTCCTTCTGTTTTTCCGCTGCGCTCCACAGTACTATGCTCTTTCCAGATCTTTACATACTTTGAGAATGGATTCAACGTAGCAGCGGCGTGCCCTATCGCAATTATCTTCACCATTCTGTTCCGGAAACAACTTTAATCTACTAGCTCAAGTATTTACAATAAATTTTTAGGCCTACTCAGGATGAGCAAACAAAATTTCCATTTGCATTTTCACAATTCTGACAGACCCATTGAAAAGCGTGCAACATCTGTTTGTTCCATTTTTTTCCACTGCTGTATTAGGGGATTATTTTGCGCTATATTAATACACTGTCTGTAAAGCGCAGAAATCCCCACCAAAGGACGTAAAAGTGGTTATAATCTGAGTGATCAGAGCCTAACAAGAGAAAGTGTTGCATGTGTATGAGAGAGCTGTGATGTAGAAAATACTAGACGAAAAACTAAAGCGAGTCTATAAGTGACTCATCCTCACATGAGGGTGATGCAGTGGAGGAGAGTGATTCCTCGTAGAGTGTAGCCAATAATCATAGTTGAAAACAATTCAGCTGCGGGAAAGATTCGAGAGCGCCTTCGGAGACATGACGTTTCTAAACTTCGTTGGCTTCGTTTGAAGTTTTGCGAAGAAAATATAAGCCGTAGATCGGTGTTATATACAACAATGGGGCAAGCGTCAAAGAATTAGCATGTGACAAACTGAAAAAGCAAACTAATAGTACCCGATTGACCATTCCTGTAAGAATCCGCGTGTGAAAAACTGAAAAAGCAAAGTAATAGTATCAGAGTGGCCATTCCTGCACCACTATGGCGACTGAGCTCTGGGAATATGTTTGATTGACTTGGTGCTTAGATTCAGTAATCCTATATATATAATTGGTCTGAGTTTGTCTGTTCGTGTGTGTGTGTTTGTATGTGTGTGTACTTGTAGTGTGTGTGTGTGTGTGTGTGTGTGTGCTTGACCGGAAATCCATAACTTCCTTCAAATCAGACGTAGAGAGTTCAAATCAATAAGAGATGTAGGAGGTCAGGCAGGGATACTATTGGTAGCTGGCAGGAAGTAATGTCATGAGTTGTATCGTGGAGCAGGTAAATTTTGTAGCGTTATGGGGCTATGACAAACGGTGTGATTTTCCACCTCACTTTGTCGTTGATTAAAGTGGAGCTCGCTGGTAACCGTAGCGTTGGGAAAGAAAAATTTTCTGCGGCAATTGTCACTGACTGATCACCATAAGGACGGCATCACTATTCTACTAGATTGATCACATTCCTTTACCGATTCAGGCCTTTCCAATTTAGGCGCTTTCGCCGGTGGCTCGCGCAGCGACACCTCTCTCATCCAGGGCGCGCCGTCGTTGTGGAAATTATTAGGTTGTCCGGAAAGTTCTCAGCGTTTTGTGCTACCATTTTTTGTACATGTATTGCTAATTAAAAACTCACTCTCCCTTGCGTCTCAGTAGTACATCCTGAAGAGAATATTTTGCGCTATTTGATAGTATAATTGCCGTTTCACCCCCTTTTCCCAAGACTGTTTTGAAGCATGTCAAAAGAGCAACTTTGGAAGATTTTTCTTCGTCTATAAATTGGGACAATCCGCAATTGAGAAGCTCAGCAAATTAACCAGGTGTGTGGGCCCAATAGTGCTAGAGAGAGCACCGTGCGGCAGTGGTTCGACAAATCTCGTTCTGGAGATTTCAGCCCTGAAGATGTACCTCGTAGCGGTCGACCTAAAGCAATACCTGACGAGGATTTGAAAGCGTTTGTGGAGGCTGACTCTTCCCAAACAGTTCGAGAGATTGCAGAAATGCTAGGCGTTGGCAAATCCAGTGTTGCAGATGGTCTGGAACGCATTGGAAAGGTGAAAAAACTCGGTAAGTGGGTGCCCCACAATTTGATGGCCGGCAGAAATTGGCACGTCTCGAGGTTTCCTCTTCACTGCTTTTGCGCAACAGAAGCGACCCGTTTTCGGACCGAATTGTCACCTGTGATGAAAAGTGGATCATGTGTGATAACAGGAGACGTTACGGACAGTAGTTGGGTGCCGACGAACCACAGAGGCAATTTCCAAAGCCGAATCTTCACTAAACAAAGGTTATGGTCACAGTGTGGTGGTCATCGGCTGGTGTGATCCACTATAACTTTTAATCACCAGGTCAAACCATCACAGCAGATTCCTACTGTGAAGAAATCGACGAAATGTACCGAAAATTGCGTCAATTGCAGCCAGCAGT